TTCTTGGTGCACTTGCATTAATGTGACTTTCTTAGGGTGGTCAGCAAGTCTCTACACACTCTGGGCCCTTCCCAACTTTCTGACCCCATTTCCTGCTGGTCTTCTCCTTGCTTTTCCCGATGCTGGTCTCCAGCTCCTCCTCACACGCCAAGCCCACTCCTGCCTCAGGCCTTTGTACTCTACTGTCACCTCCTCAGAGAGGCCTTCAGTGTCCCCACTATCTGAAACGGCACCCCTATCCCTCCTTATCCCATTCCATGGCTTTATTTTCTTCATAACACTCGTTGCTTTCTGAAGTCATCTTCCTGATTTGTCTTTGTCTCTCTCCGCTGCAGAATATAAGCTCCCTGAGAGCAAGGACCTTGTCTGCCATGTTCATCACTAGCTCCTCAGAACCTGGCAAACAGTAGGCGCTATATCAGTATCTAGTGATTGAGGGAGGGACTCAAAGCAGAGGCAGGGTGAAGCTGCCCCTTTGGAGGCAGCACAAGGCCCCTTCCTGGAACCCAGCGGCCCCTGGGGCAGGGCCTGTGGCGTCGCCATGGCAACCCACTGACCTGCGCCCCCCCCTGGAGAGGCCACAGCTGCTGGCCTCCTGGGCCCACTTTTCACACACTCCTGTGTGTCACCACTGTCAGGGAGTCCGGGGGACAGAAAAAAAGGGGCTGAGAGAGAATGATCAAGAGGAAAGCACACCCCGGGGCCGGGGGTCACAGGAGCAGGCCTCGGCGGCAACGCAGTTCCACTGGTAATGACCAGGGCCCAGGGGAGGGGAGACTGGGACACACTGGCACCCCAGGAGGGTCCTGGGCCCAGCCCTCTGTTGGTGGCTAGGAGTGTGGCACTGTGTCAGCTCTTTTTTATGTAGCGTTTCTAACGCTGTGAGTTCCTAAAATAGGCCCCAGCACAGTGCCCTGGAAGACTGTTGATACAGAGGATGAATAACACCTTCTATTAAAACCCGGTGACACTTTCTAAGTCAGGCGGCGTTTCCTTCAGGTATTGCATAAGTCAAGACCTCCCTGTTCTCATCCAGTTCTTCAGAAACAAAACTCCCCCACTGCTTAACAACCACGCTGGTTCCCGGCTGCCTGCAGGCTTCCCAGCCTGGTGGATGAGCCCTTTGCAATGTGCTCCTAGGACTCTCCCACCTGTCTCCCACCACTCCTGGGGTTACGGGACAGTGAGCTCTTCCCCTTTGCCAGAACCAAGCAGGCCGTTCACAGCTTCATGCCTTTGTCTGTGATGGCATCCTCTTGTCTGAAATACTCTGCTTCCCTCCTTGGTCTAAGCAGGTGCAAATCCTTTAAGGACCAGCAGAAATGCCACCTCTTCTGTGAATCAGCCGAGTGTGCTGGAAGCTCCCTCTCTGTGACCCCACAGCACCTTATTATAATACCAAACGCAGTCCTGGCTACCTGCTTGCTCAGGAGGCAGTGTGCCTCGGTGAGAGCACACCAGCTTTGAAGTCAGACACCAGACCTGGCTCGGCCACCAACTAGCTGGGTGGCTTTACCTTAGCTTCTCTGAGTGTCAGTTTCCTCCTTGTGAATTGGAGTGAATAAGTCTCTGCTTCAGTTGTTATGAGGAGCAGAGACGAGGGATGTGAAGCAGAGTGACCAGCCTGGGAGGGCACTCAACAAAGGCCAGGCGTCACCATTACACATCTGTCCCCATCACTCAGCTGTGAGTTCTCAGTGCATGCAGACCCTGCCTTCCTCATTTTACTGTGGCCTGGCCCACAAAGCCAAACGCACCAAGTGCTTACCTGTATTATTTCAGTTAATCTTTGGAGAAATCTGGTAGGTCGGGATTTAGGAAGATTTGAGAACGATCCCAATGTTACATAACTAGAAAGTGACTAGGCTGAGATTTGAAATCCAGTTGTTCTAACTCCAAACCCCACATTCTTCCAAGCCGGCCTCTGTCTTATGCTGTCTCCTGTTCTATCCCTCTGCATCAGCCCCCAGGGCCTTCTTGCCATTCCTCAAAGTATAATCTTGCCTAGGTCCCCTCTCTCTGAGTCTTGGAAGGCCTTGTTCCTTCACTATGCTCAGTCTCTACTCACAGGCCGTTTCTTCCCATGGGCCTTTCTGGTGGAGGGATCCATCATTCTCTGTTCCTTTATCCTACTTTACTTTTCTTCATCACAATCATCACGACCAGCTATGTGACAACACTGTTCTAGGCTCTTGGGGACAAGGTACTGAACAAGACAGACAAGGTTGTAAGAACTTACATTTTAAGGGTGGGGAAAATAAATGATAAAAAAGGAATAAATAAACAAGATATTTTTAGGTCTTGGGACATCGGTCCACGAGAGATACCCTGCTATAATACATTGACATCCATCGTATTAAATAGCTTTCGTCCATCTCTTCTGTTTGAACTTTACATCGAAGGCACTTGATAATTATATGCAGAATGGATGAATGGATACGTGGATAATCTAAGAGGTCCCTGCCAGTGTGTTCTGTCAACTTCAAGGATTTCCTGGCTTTTGATACCATCTTAATCAGCTCCTCCTGCCAAATCAATATGTGTTTATGAATCACCACTCTGAACCTTGAGATACCTTGGATGTGTCATATTCCCAACGCATTCCTTTCTAGTTGTTCTTTACTGCTGCAAAGGGAATCAGCCTCCTAGAAAACCTGATAACCCTATAACTCTGCTCAACCTCACTATATAAACCTGAATAAATCTCTTCAAATTGGGGTTTCCAAATCTTCATTCCAAAGTGAACAGGCATGAAGATCTGCCTCTAAGGAATGTGGGTTGAACTCCTTGTAAAGTGAAAATCCATAGGCATTTTCTGCATCCTCCTTCCTGCCCATAATCCCAGAAGAAGCAGGTAAAGGGACGCTTCACAGCCCAGGAGCCTACACTCACAGGCATCGGTAAATCCTGGTGAGCATTTAGCATAAGCTTGGTTCTTGCTAAAAGGTCAGATGATTTTTATGGATCAAAAATGAGGTGATTGGGAACAGGAGGTTATCCAAGTGTGCATTGAGCTCTCCCTGCCCTATGTCCTGTGCAGTCCTCAGAACACTCTACCAATATTACAGTATTGATCACAGTCTGTCTTGCTTTAGAACCTTTTCTTCAAGCCTAAGGTTTCCATATCTATAAATAGAGATATTACAACATACCATACAACATTGTTCATATGTTGTCAATTTAGACAACATATGTGAAAATGCCTTGCATAGTACCTGACACACAATAGGAACTTTGATGTTACTTTTAGGAAAACAGTAATGCAGTCAACAACACATATTTATTGTGCAACATCTATGGGGCCAGTCACAGGGCCAGCCATTGAGTACAAGATGGTGAACAAAAATGACAGGGTCCTGCACTCGTGAGCTTGGAGAGTAGTAGCACCTGCCTTGCTTTCTAGATGGTAACTAGAGGGCAGAAGGCAGTCATGTTCATATTTATATCACTCACAGCTTCTCTTTAGGATAGCTTCTTGCCTCTAGAAGGCACAAAATAAATGTGTGTTGAATTTTGCTTTATTTGGAAAATCGTCTTTGATGTGTTGTACTTTTTCATGCCTCATGTGGTGAAAAAGAAAATGATTAGGAAATTCTATAGACATGCGAACCTATCTACTTATATGCTATGCATTCTTTGACATGTGTGTCACTAATGTAGTATTTATTGAGGCCAGGCTACAGGAAAAACTTTGTAATAGGCACTGGTGGAGAGTCAAAAGAAATAGACTAAAATAGGCTCCATTCCGAAGACGTTGAAGTTCTAAACTGAAAAGCCTGCTATGTATGACAAAGGCTGACAAAGAAATATGTAAATTAATTTAGCAAAAAGGATAATGCATAAGTAGAGTTTTAGCAAAAGTTCTAATGCAAAGCAGACTGAGAAAAATGCTGCAATATTGGTCTTGCGTTCCAGGGTCTGTACGGGACGTGACGGAGAGAGCTCAGGTCACTGTAGGAGAAAGCACTGTGATTATGACCTGAGCTTGGATGCTGGTCTTTCTTCTTACATTCCAGGTGACTTTGGGCAAGTCACTTAATCTCTCTGAGCCTTAGCTTTCCGATATCTAAAATGTCCCTATTAATAGCACCTACCTCATAGGCTTGTTATGAGGATTAAGCATGATGATGTATATAATGTGTTTGTACAATGCCTAAACCATAATAAGGGCTCAAAGTATGGAAGCCTTTGTTAATATAAATTATATAATCTATAAATAAATAAGGTAGAAGAGCACAGTGTTGTACTCAAAATTCAGTATACGTGTCATTCTGGTCAAGTAATTCTTGACCTCTGCAAGACCAAAATTTGTTGTTAAAAATAATTTTAAAGTACTTAAAGTTTACTTCAGTTGATGTAAGTAGTGGCCTTCCAGTCATATGAAGCAACCTGACTTGTGGGATGTGATTTGAAGATGCCACTGCTATGGGCCCCACTAGGGAAGAAGACAAAGATCAAAGTGCACCTGTGAATCCAAGCCCCATAGCCTACGTGTTGAATCCACGTAGTCTGGAATGCCAGAGCTTTGGATGCATGAGAACTCCCACAAGTGTCCAGAATAACAGAAGTGATGGTTCTGCTGTACTTGCCACTGCTCAGACCACCATCTAAACCTTCGGAGTCTACCCTGGGGGAAGTGAATGTCCACACAAACACTGATTAACTAGAAGATATCCAAAAGCAGATGAACTGAATGGCAAAGAACTGGACAAAATTTCTTCCAAGAAAGAGCTGAAACAAGTGGGTTTCTTCGATGGGGTACTTCAACAAGAAATATGGAGACACGATTGTTGTCTTTCCCTATTGTCATGTGCCAGCAAGATCAAACTTATTCTGGGATCCCCCAGGGAGCAGAGCTGGGTAGCAGAGTGGCTACAGGCATAGGCCATGGGGTCAGAGAGAACTGAGTGGGTGAAATGGGTGAGACGTCTTCTGTCTTTTTTTTCATGGGACACCCACGTTCTCCCTTTTCTGTACCCTTGCTTTTATCTCTCTCCAGCACGGGGTTGCAGAGGTGCAGACGTCAGGAAAGTTCTTGAACTCTTGTGGGTCTAGGTGCTGTGCTCTCTTGGCTTACCTGGTTATTAGAGCCAACTCCTCTCCAGAATGTTGCCATGAATTCTTCAGAGAGTGTCCTGCCAGTCCCCGGGGGTTCTCACCTGCAAGAACAGGCCCTTCTAAGGACTCTGATTTTAATACACCTGATCCTGGATTAGGCAAATGGGTGAGAGTGAGAGTGTTTCCCTTAATTCTTATGAAAGGGGGATAGTGGTGTAGGTGTGAGTGTGTGTGTGCCCACATGCACATGAGAGTAACTAGGTGTGGATGTTTCTATCTAGAAAGGCCAGGGGCTGGCCCAGAACAATACACGTAGCTTTTGGTGGTATGACTTCGTGGAGGCAGGAGCTAAAACTGCAGTAGATGCCATGCAGCATCAGCCATGGCTGTTGCCAGGAAAAATGTGCCAGGGCTTGACAGTGTGCGAAGATCTAAGTGGAGACATTTTGGAGACTCCTGAAAGGGATTCTGGAGATCTGTAATCCTATGTGCTTTTGGGTACAGTGTGATGACCAACAGCCCCTTGTGCATCCTAGCTTCGAAAACATGATGGGTTGTTCCTACATTGTGCATTTGATATCTGAAAGGAGTAGCGTCTTAATGTTTTGGATTTCTTGCTCCTCAACATTTCCCTGGAAATACCAGATTTCCATATCCTCTAAACAAGCTGGCCCTTGTTCCTCCCCTTGGATATTTTCCCCTACTTATTTACAATTTTGGAAGCAGCTTTTAGAAGAGCAGTTTGTTGGGACATAAGATACAAAACAAAACAAAAATCCAACATTTCTTCCTGCTGTTAGCATCTGCTTCCCCCTTCTCTGAGTAACTCACTCCTCGCCGTGGCTTCTTTTTATAGCATGTAACCTAAGGTGCTCACTAATGATCTTTCGCTCAGCTCTTTGAATTTTGAGGAGTCACATTACTTAATTCTTTTGTGCCTTGGTTGCTTTCTAGGAAAAATAGAGGTTAAAAGCCTTGCTTTAGATAGTTGTTGTGAGGATTCAATGAGATAACATATGGAAAGGGCCTGGTGTGTTCAAATAGCTTCCATATCATAAAGAAGACAGTAGAAGACCACACGGTTCAAAAGCCCCTAGACATAGGTGAAGTTCTAACACCCCATATGCCTTCCTAAAAATCAGCACATTGTATAGAATTACACAATAAAAACCACAGAGCTTACTGGAAAAATAAGCTTAGAGGCACAATACTCAAAAACGTTGTCAATGACACATTTAAAAAGGTAGAGAACTAATAAAAATGATAGCAGAGTTTTGCTCATGTTAAATGGTTAAGAAATACACAAGTACAATAAATATGGCACTTCACCCTGAAAAAGACCTGAAGATGACTTTTGGAAGTGGATGTCAGGAAGGTTGCAGCATGTGAATTATTATGAAGTGGTAGAAGGTGCGACTCATAATACGTGTTGAACTGAAGCATCTGGGAGTGTGAAGTATCTTTGAAGTGTGAATGTGTGTGCTTTTTGCATATTTCTACAGGGCTCAGTTCAGTTGGGTGCAGTTTTCTGCATTCATTGAATGTTTCTTATGGAAGAAATGGAGCATAAGGAAACACAAAGTTTGCACTATGCTCAAATTGCTCCCTAACACACCACCTGCATTGGAACACATTCATGTTTCCAAAACAAGCGTTATAGCAGAACTGACTGTACTTAGCTGATATTCTTGAATGAATGATTAAATGAATGAATGATGGAGGTCTAGAAAATGACATTATACTACATTGTGAAAAATACATTTGTAGCCTTTAAAATCGGATTTAAAAATCCACAGTCTTTTGGTTACTATAGTGCTTTTGATTTCTCTTTCTTGTCTTTGCTTCGAAGAGCCCCTTCAAGGGGTCACTGGGCAAGGGGAGGTGAGCTACAAGGCTCCCTGCCTTCCTCTCCACTTCAACCAGAGCCTCCAGGGTTTTACCTGCTTTTTGTTTTCATTTGAAGGAAGGATTGTGCTGCTAATTTACAAATTTGCCAACCACCACCAGTGATTCAGTTGGCCAAATTTCACTTTATAAACTACTTCTCAGGAATATCTCTTCTTTGCTAAGTAAGATAATTCTCAGTTGGTAGTATTGGGCTAAGAATACTACAGAATTAGTAGAATTTGACCGAGAAATGCTCAAATGAGGTTTCAAATGGTCATTTTGCCTCCAAACTACTCAGCAGTCTCATCAGCAATGGTGCACATGGAGCTTCATGTAAAATCCAATTCCAGTCTCAGTAGATGCCCTGTGAAAGTCGATGAGCATTTAAATCTAATGCATTCATGATCTTCCTGTCTCTCTGCAAACACCCACAGCAATTATGTGACTTTCTTTTTCTTATTCTTTTTTTTTTAGAGAGCTGGATTGAAAGATGTCTCAATGAAAGTGAAAACAAACGTTATTCCAGCCACACATCTCTGGGGAATGTTTCTAATGATGAAAGTAAGTTCTTGAAACTCATTCTTCTACGATGTCCTAGACATGGCCAATGTCCTGATGGAAGGCCAGCCCCCCTAGATTCCTAGGCAGGAGCAAATCACTTGGAACAAGACACTCTTCAGCTATTTATGAAATATCCCAAGCCTTGTCTATAATATTCCACAATAGGGAGTGGAATTCAGGCAGGTAGACATGGAAACTAAGGCCACAGCAAAAGCTTGCTGTTTACAGATTCATCTTAGGCAGTGGACTTGGTAGCCTGTGTCCCCAAAGACCCTGTTAGAGTGATGCTCCAGTCTGGCAAATGTGGCTCAGTGTCCTCTGTAGTTACGGGTCTAGAGTAGTGGTGTCACGGGATTATTGCTTTAGAGCCAGAAATATCTTTGCTATCAGAAAGCAAAAATTTCTTCCATGTCTTGGACACTAGAGAATCGAAGTCAATTCAAAGATGTAAACTCCTGTGTTTACACCTCGCCCTGTGTTATGTCAAACTGGAGCTGCTGGGTTCTTTACACTTAGGAGCAGAAGACTACTTGGCACTTGCATTTGCCCCTCTAGCACTAAAAAGAGGGTGGACAGCTTATTATAAATGTTATTTCCAGAAGGATCAGAAGTGTCTTTCCCGTTTGGCTGGTAAAACACACCCCCTTAGTTGAGTTTTTTCAAAGCATGAGCCCAAAACCGCTCACTCCACAATCCCCTAGGACGTTGGTTAGACATGCTGAACAGCTTCCTTCCATAGCCCCTTCTGGCGTTGCCATTCTATCATCACCATTTATGTCATTTTACAAAATTGACATAAATTGAACATAAAGCACACAAATCTTATGTGAACAGTTTGATGAGATTTTTTTTATGTATTGTATCTATGTGTGTAATCACCACCCAGAAAAAGAAATAGAACATTTTTAGCCCCCCAGGAGGCTTCCTCTTGTCTCCTTCCTGTTGATAACCACTGTCCTGACTTTTATTACTGTAGATTTGTTTTGCCTGTCTGCAAAACTTCATATAAATGGAAACGTAGACTCTGTATTCTTTTGTAACATAAAGCTATTTATGTAACTTTTTTCACTCAGCATAATGTCTGTGAGATCTATCCATGTTGTACATAACAGTAGTTCTTGCTTTTTCATTGCTTTATTTTATTTCACTGTATGAATGAATGAATATACCACAATTTACCTCTCCATCTAAGTGTCGATCTATACTTAAGTTGTTTCAAATTTTTGACTATTAGGAATAAAGCATCTCTGAACATTCTTTTTAAAAAGTTTTATCTTATTTATTTATTTGTTTATTAGACAGATTCTCACTCTGTTGCCTGTGCTAGAATGTAGTGGCATCATCACAGCCCACTGCAACCTCAAACTCCTGGGCTCAAGCAATCCTTCCGCCTCAGCCTCCCCAGCAGCCAGGACTACAGGCACACACCACCACACTCGGCCAATTATTTTTTTTCTATTATTTTATAGACGGGGTCTCACTCTTGCCCAGGCTGGTCTCAAACTCTTGGCCTCAAGCAATCCTCCTGACTCTGCCTCCCAGAGTGCTGGGATTACAGGCATGAGCCACCACACCTGGTCAAAAGTTTTATTTTATTTTGGTAAAATATACATAAACATAAAATTTACCATTTTAAATGTACAGTTTGGTGACATTAAGTACAGTCACCTTGTTGTGCAACCATTACCGCCATCCATCTCCAAAACTTTTTTCTTCTTCCCAAACTTAAACTGTACCAATTAAACAATAACACTTCATTCCCTTTTCCATCAGTCTCTGGCAATGACTATTCTACTTCCTGCCTCTAGGAGGGAATTTGACTGTTCTCAGTATCTCATATAAGTGGAATCATAAAGTATTTGTCTTTTTGTGACTAGCTTAATTCACTTAGTATAATGCCTTCAAGGTTAAGCCATATTGCAGCATGTGTCAGAATTTCCTTCCTTTTTAAGGCTGAATAATATTCCATAGTATGGCTATGACACATTTTCTTCATCCATTCACTATGAACATGGGTGTACAAATATTTGCTCAAGTCTCTGTTTCCAATTCTTTTGGCTATGTACCCAGAAGGGGGATTGCTGTATCATCTGGTAAATCTGTTTAATTTTTTGAGAAATTGCAAAAGAGTTTTTCATGGTGGCTGCACCATTTTACATTCCCACTAGTGATGCACAGAAGTTCTAATTTCTCCACGTCCTTTCTGTCACTTGCTGTTTTTTGTTGCTTTGATAATGGCCATCCTAATGAGTGTGAAGTGGTATCTCATTGTGGTTTTGATTTGCATTTCCCTAATGATTAGTGATGTTTAGCATTTTTTCATGTGCTTTTGACTATTTGTATATCTTATTTGGAGAGATGTCTAACTCCTTTGCCCATTTTAAAATCAGGTTGTTTTTTGTTGTTAAATTGTAGGAGTTCTTTATATATTCTGAATACTAATCACTTATCTGTTACATGATGTACAAATATTTTCTCCCATTCCTTGTGTTGCCTTTTCATTCTGTTGATTGTGTTCTTTAATGCACAGAATTTTTTTTATTTTGATGTAGTCTAATTTACCTATTTTTTCTTTTGTTGCCTGTGCCTTTGGTGTCATATCCAAGAAATTATTGTCAAATCCAATGTTCTAAAGCTTTTGCCCTATATTTTC